AATGGAGAAAAAGTCATGCCGAGGGGTGAGGTGAGTTTGCCAGTAGCGCTGGGATCAGGAGTGACGAGAAAAGTGCGGATGGTAAGGTTTGTGGTGGTAGGAGCTGAGTCATCTTACAATATCATTATGGGGAGGACGAGCTTGAATGCATTCCAGGCAGTCGTATCAACGTACCACATGACGATAAAATACCCAGTGGGTGAAAACATTGGTGAGATCGCAGGGGATCAACTTACCTCAAGGAGTTGCTATCAGACGACGGTGAGCAATAACAAACAATTAGCGAGGAGGAAGATTAAGTCGAAGAAGGAGGAGATTAGTCGACCAGGCGGGTCGAGATTGAAAGAAGATAAGTTAAGGGTAGAGAAGGGCAAGGAGAAGGTAGATATTCAGCCAGGAGGGGAGGTAGAGGAGATTCAGATGATCGAGGGATATGAAGAGAGGAAGTTTAGAATCGGGAAGGACATGAAGGAGCCCATCAGGTCGAGGTTGATCAGTCTGGTAAGGGAGTTCACCGATATCTTCGCTTACACGACGCAGGAATTGACAGGAATAAGTGCGGAGGTGATTGAACACCGTCTGAATATCGACCTCAGTGTGAGGCCGGTGAAAGAAAAAAATGAGGCACCATGGAGCGAGATGGATAAAATTATTGAGCAGGAGGTCGAGAAGTTGTTGGGGGTGGGGCATATTAAGGAGATTCAATTCCCGGAATGACTATCAAATACAGTGATGGTGTCTAAAGCTGAAGGGAAATGGAGAATGTGCATAGATTTCTGGGACCTGAACAAAGCATGCCCGAAGGATCTGTACCCGCTGCCCAGGATCGACCAGCTGCTCGACTCAACTGCTGGATGTGAGTTGTTGAGCTTAATGGATGCTTCGCAGGGATACCGTTAAATTTTCTTGGCGAGAGAAGATAGAAAGCGGGTGAGTTTCGTGACGAGTCGAGAAACTTACTGTTAGTGGTGATGTCGTTCGGCCTAAAAAACGCGGGTGCCATGTATCAGAGATTGGTCGATAAAATCTTTAAGGAGCAGTTGGGGAGAAATATGGAAGTGTATGTAGATGATATGCTGGTTAAAAGCAAGGAGGAGATGGATCATGTGCGAGACCTGAGGGGAGACGTTCTTAACATTGAGGAGGTATTTGATGAAGTTGAATCCGGCCAAGTGCTCGTTCGGGGTGAAGTCAGGAAAATTCTTGGGTTACTTGGTGACCAAGAGGGGTATCAAGGTGAATCCAGAGAAGGTGTGGGCGGTGATGGAGATGAAGTCGCCGACGAATATTAAGGAGGTACAAATCTTGGCTGGTCGAATTGCGGGGCTGAGTCGTTTTATATCGCAGGAAAAGTAGGTGGAGAAGAAGTGACCTCGTCCTCCTTTGGCTCATCTAACGAGCCAAAGGCAGGTCGACGGTGGCAGAGGGGAATGTTGTCCATAGTATGCCCGAAATTGGGAGAGAGAACACGAGCTGTAAAGACGATGCTTGGAATGGTCTCGCCAGGGCGAAGAATGGAGAAAGGAACATCTTCAAGGGCAGAGGGCAATATTTGAACCGAGTCAGAGGAGGTGGTCGAAGTAGCGGAATCTGAAAAACAAAAAAGAGAACAATATCAAAAAGGGGAATTTCGACGATAAGGAAAGAGGGAGAGGAGAAGGTTTTCAAAGCTAGGGTTTTTTCTGGGAAAAGCGGTTCCGAAAAATTGAGAGGGAAAAGAATAGGAAGTTTTAAAAATTGAGGAGGAAAAGCAAAATTCACAGCGATCAACAAACAAATCACAACATTCAGAGCACATATTAAGGATAAAACGCGCAAAGCCAGAAAATTCAATAAGCAAATTCGAGATACCTAATTCAAAAAACACAAAAACACAAAATCTGAGAAAGGGAAAACGTAAATTCAGGCGAGGAACAACTTACTTATGGTCGCGGATAAAGAAATTGAGAAAGCCCGAGGAGTGCGAGAGGAATTGCCGAGAAGAAGAAGCTAAGGTTTTGCAGAGAAAACACAGAGTGTAAACAGTTCGAAAATTGCAAAGGTGGAAAAACTCAAAAAATTTGCTAAGTGTTGAATTTATACCTTGGAAAGTTAAAGGGTTGAAAGATGAGGACCGTTGGATTAATGTCAGATCATACGGTGGAGAGAATTAACTCGCACGACAGTCAAAGTGGGCGCGTTAGGCGAGGAGGCGCAATACTTAAAGTGGCTGACAGGTGTGACGCGTGGTAGAAAAGCAGGCGCGACAGAAAGGACGTGTGACAGGCAACTTTATTGCTGGCAATTAAAGAAGATTTAACTGGAAAAATGAACGGGAAACTCACTAGGTGGTCGATATTTGACATCAGACCATCCAGGAAAGCGACGAGCACAAATTCACTCTTAGATCGAGTCACCCAGACTCGACCAGAGTGGGGGGACTAGATGATATAGGATATTATACTCACAAGGCTAAACCGGTTTGCTGAACCGGTCGAAGAGGTCATACCGTGGAGAAACCAAGCTGAATGGCGGGAAAATCGACCAGTCAATCAGTCGACCAACTAAGCAGTCGACCAATCTATCCTTCAACCAAGTGAACGGTCGAGTAATTTAGTCGACCTCAATTGGTCGACCACTTCGCGGACTTAACATATCATAGATCGGCCTAGGCGCGTGAAAGAGCCCCTAACGGAATTTCAGAAGAATATTCATCCCATGTGCAGGAGGACACGTGTCGAGAACTTATTGGTTGATAGCGACAACCACCTCTGACAGCTCCCAACGTCTCGCGCCACCTCTGACATGTGCGCGACGTGTCAGAGTACGAACGGGCAGCTTGGGCAACCAGCTCATCAAATCCGGGCAGTCTTAGATCAGGTATTTCACTCATATATAAAGAGGGTGAGCTTTTCTTCCCAACACACGATTTTTCCATTACCCAATTTCAGTATACTCATACACATACTGACTTAGGCATCGAAGGCTCTTCACCGGACACAACCCCCGATGTGAGAGTTATTTGCAGGTTCCCGGCGTTATACCGGCGAGGAAAAGAATCAATCTACCCCAAACCGGACCAGGACGCTCACACTTGTATTACACTCTTTTTGCTATCATTTCTTAATTTTCTTTCTTTTATATTTCATAATATTATTCTGCAATATTAGTCTATTTTTTACCCGTAAATGAAAATAAATTTTGATCCATGTTCAAACACTAATCATCTAATTTTTATTTTGTATATAAATCGTGACACTAAATGTACATTTAAAAGTAATAACATATAAATATAAATGTGTATATATATCAAGTTATTATTCTAATATATACTTTCAAGATTTTTGTTTCTTTATAATCTTAGATTACATTAAGGTAACAATGAAGATTATCACCATCGTTACTTATATCAATAGCCGAAATTTATTTTGCATTGAATTTATGAGAATTATAATTTAACTTATTAAATACATGTTGATATAATTCTTGTAAAATAATAAGAATAAAATATTTAAAACCTCCGTATATATAATTCCCGAATGCGCTGAGCCTACGTGGCTGCTTCTGGTGCTTCGGAATCCTACTTGGCGAAGAATCATGCTTCGTAATTAGGTTTGGATAAATAATATTGATATATTAATAATTAATAATCTAGGTTCAGACATTCCATAAATATTAAACCTAGGTATTTTAATATTACTTGTACTAATATAACCCTTTAATTTTTTGTAATTTTACATAGTGAGACACTAAGTGACTAATATATCCCTAATTTTGATTTGTTTCCTTCAATTAGCTATTGAATCTTTTGATTTGTTTCATTCGATTAGCTATTGAATTATAAATGTATTTAAAAAGTTGATAAATTTTGTATTTCTTATCGGTTTTACATATATAATATATCAAATTAATCATCTTTTGATGATCTTCGATTTGACATCCATATTGTATATATGAAATAAATAAATTATATTTATCTTTATAATAATAAAAAATAATAATATTTATTAAAATTCATTAGAAAAATGAAATTATTTCTCAATTGATATATTTATGTTTAATGTAGTTATATGTTGTAAGTTAAAAAAATTATTATAATATAACACATGTAAGTCGCACAAATAAAAAAGTGTCATACTAAATCTATAATAATATATATATATATTTTTATAAAATATATTTAAATTTTCAACTACTTTTTTTCATTAATTTTAGATTTTAAGATAGAAAAAATTAGCAAGCACCCGTGTAATGCACGGGCATTATACTAGTCGTTAGTATATAACTCTAAAACAATAAAACCTTTTTTCTCTTATTAAATACATGTGCATTGATTTTTTTTTTTTTTTTATATCATCCATTTGATCAAATTATTAGATAAATTAAATTTATTCTTCTTACACTAGTTAAAAAAAAGAGTAAAATGCATTTTTCGTCCTGTATGTTTACCCCTCCAAACATTTTAGTCCTCTTCGAATTGCGTCTTTGATTTTCGTCCCGTATGTTTGAAAAAAAGTTACAAAAATGTCCTTTTCATACATAAAGGATGAAATTTGAACACCTTTTTGCAAAACATAAAGGACCTTTTTGTTGCGAAAATGACCTTTCTGTAACCTTTTTTCAAACATACGGGACAAAAATCAAAAACACAATTCGAATAGGACTAAAATGTTTGGAGGGGTAAACATACAGGACGAAAAATGCACTTTACTCTAAAAAAATGTAATAAAACATCTTTTTCTCTTTGTCCAAAGCGACAAAATGTCATAGGCACATGTGCTACATGCCTACATTCAATACGTGTACATAAAAAATGGGCCCCAGTCCCCAATCAAATTATTACTATATCTAATCGTTTTAAAATTGGAAACTCTCTTCCAATCATTTTCCACAATTTGTGTTTATCTTCTCCTCCTCACGCAGTCACATTTTTCCAGCTCATTTTTCCATCGCCATTTTTTTCTCAACATTAAAGAGAAGAAGAAGAAAAAAAAAAAAGTTGAAAATCCACAGCATCATCAATGGCAGCGGCCAACCGCACCTTCTTCCACCTCCTCATCCTCCTCTCCGCCGTCTCCATCTGCAGATCTGTAAGTATTCTTCTCTCTCTGTCTCCAAACCGACGACCTCCATACATCCAAATCGGAGATCTGTCTCTATTTCTGAAATCAAAATCTCCGATCGGTGTTTCTCGCCGCCGCCGTGTGGTTGTCACGGCGGAGGAAACAAATTTGTGCCGGAATTTCGGAAAATTGAATCGAATTTTTTGCAGGACGACCCGGAATGCGTGTACACGGCGTACGTGCGGACGGGGTCGATAATCAAGGGCGGCACCGACTCCGTGATCAGCCTGACGCTGTACGACGCAAACGGGTACGGGATCCGAATCAACAATTTGGAGACGTGGGGCGGGCTCATGGGCCCGGGCTACAATTACTTCGAGAGGGGGAACCTCGACATATTCAGCGGGCGGGGCCCGTGCCTGACCGGGCCGGTCTGCGCGATGAACCTGACGTCGGACGGGACCGGATCGGGCCACGGCTGGTACGTCAACTACGTGGAGGTGACGTCCACCGGGGTCCACCAGGAGTGTGCGCAGCAGCAGTTCGAGGTGGAGCAGTGGCTGGCCACCGACACCTCGCCGTACGAGCTCACTGCCATCAGGAACTACTGCAAGTCCGCGGCGGCCAGCGGGAGGAAGCGGGCCCCGGGCGGGTCGGATCTGCCGGCCCCGCTGTCGGTCATATGATTTGAGGGAACAGGGAATTGGCGAGTGTCCCACCCTTTTTTCGTGTGTGTGTTTGGATATATTCGGGTCGGGTATGGGCGGTATCCGGACCCGTGTTGCTGCGGGTTTTCGTTTTTTTTTTTT